TAGAATAACCCTCAATGCTTTAAATTGAACTTTATCTAGTTTGTATATGTTTCTTTTTGCTGTATTAAAAATTAACATTGTACCATAATCCAGATGTGACCTAACTATACCTTTATAAATCATAGTTAAAATTTTTGAATCTGCTCCCCACCAATAATTTGCAACTGATTTCATTACATCAATTCCTTTTTGGGCTTTGGATACTATATTATCAATGTGCGCATTTAACTTCATTTTTTCATCTAACATAACCCCTAAATACTTAACGGTAGGTACGTATGGTATGATTTCATGATTATATTCAATACTAGGTAGAAATCGGTTATTTTTCCTTTTTTGAAAAATTATCGCCTTAGATTTTTGAGCAGAGATCTCAAGGCCATGTATCCCTAACCAGTTTCTTATGTTATCTAATGTTTCGTTGATACCCCGACATATTTTTTCGAGTTTATGCCCTTCCGCTAGTACCATCATATCATCCGCGAAACTCAATAAATCTACCCTTCCCACTGTTTGTTTGTATATGTCATTAGTATATACTGAATATAAAATTGGACTAAGTACTGATCCTTGTGGGATACCTTTACTAGTGTATCCTGATGTGGAACATGACCCTGTTACATTATCCCTGATGATTACTTTCCTATTGGTAAATATTTTCCTAAGAAATTCTATAAAAGGTTGTGGAATATTAATCTTTGCGAGTTTATTCATTAATATTGGGATGCTTACATTATCGTATGCTGCCCTAACATCTAAAAATACTGCTACTACTTTTTTATTCTTTTGAAAGGCCTGGAATATTATAGTTTGCAAATATACTAAATTGTCCATGATTCCCCTACCCTTTCGAAACCCTGACTGCTTCTTACTTAATATTTGTTCTGATTCTAGTTTATGTTCAATCCTATTTTTTATTAAATTCTCTACGATTTTTAGGACACACGACTGTAGTGAAATGAATCTGTAACTATTTAATTGTTGTGGATCTTTAAGTGGTTTTAAAAAAGGACATATTATTTGAGTGTTCCATTCCTTTGGGAGTTCCTTACCAGCTAAAAACTCATTAAACACCTTAATTAAATTGACTTTAATACCGAAAGGTAGTCCCCTTATTAAAGAATATACTATAGCATCCGCACCCGGCATTGTATCCCTTTTTCTTGCATTTAGCACTACATTAAGCTCATTGACTGTGAATTTATCCCATCCCATTTCTTTTGACATTATGGTGTCCATTTCTATTGGAATTTCCGGCGGGGTGACTATGTTTAAGAAGTTATCTAAATTACTCCTAATGAAATCAGTTTTTCCTTTGATGTTCTTGTTTCTTCCAAACCCTTTCACAACTTTCCATACATATGATAAGTTACTGTCTCTGTTGAGTGTAGAGCAAAATTCGATAAAACTTGCCTTTTTTTTTTGTTTAAATATTTTTTTGGTTTGTGCTACTTTATGTTTCATATTAATATAATTACTATTGTTACTGTCCCTCATATATGTTTGAATTGCTTCTTTTCTTTCCCTCAATATTTTCTCACAATCTCTATCCCACCATTTATTAATTGTCCTCTTTTTACTATTATTTTTTTTTGCTACAGGATTGTGCTGTTTTGTCGGAACTACAACGTCATAAGCCTGTTTGATTATACCCATAATATCCTCGTATTCCTTACTTTTAGTTTGAGAAACGATTTGTTGACACACTATAAAATATTCGTTCCAATTGATTTTTTTTGTATTATATTTTTTCCCCTGAATTTCATGATTATTAAAATTGTTGTATACGTTTTTTGTACTGATATTAAATTTCATCATAATAGGAAAATGGTCACTATCCCCTTTATCTAACGGATGTATATCCCATTCCCCCAGTAAACCTAACCTAGTGGTACAAAATGATATGTCTGTGACACTTTTATTTTGCCCTGGCAAGCTTATTCTTGTTGCTCTGCCATCATTTAAACAGTTAAATCCCGCGTCTAGTAAAGTATCTACCAACATATTACCGTTACTATCGTTGCGATTATTACCAAAAATTAGATTTTTTGAATTGAAATCCCCTGCAAAAATTATATGATCAAATTTTACTGTTTCTTCGCTTAAGTCCCTCAAAAATTGTCTTTTTAACTTTGTATTTATAGGATTGTATATGTTAATAACTAGAATATTATTTATTGCAATCGCTTGAATAAGTACACCATATGGTTTATTCCTTAAGTTTAAATCATATGCTTTCGCATTAATATTATTTTTAACCAAAATTGCTATTCCATTGTGTCCCTCTGTAATATCTTTCCTATATATATTATATTCTTTAATGTTCCAAATCATGGAATTCTTTAAATATGTTTCTTGTAGCAAAATAACGTTTGGTTCCTCCCTGTTAATTAAATATTCAAGGTTTATATTGTTAGATCTTACACTTCTTATATTCCACTGTAAAATAATGAATTCTGATACTTGAGAAAAAAGAAACATATACAAACTTACTTAAACTACTTATGTTTATGCTTTACCATTCTTCCTCCTCCGTCATTATGACTGGGGATTCCGTAATGGTGTTTTTTTTCTCCAATTGAGAGTTGTTACTTAAATTTGGTTCAATATTATCGTTCGCATTTAGTGATGGGGAAATTCCCCTTTTTTGTAAGTTACCATTTATTGTTTGAGACATTGTTATCAAAGCATCTAAAGGTATACTTAAATCTGATAGATATTCATTCAAGTCTAATTCATTAATATCAATAACATTTATTTGACTAGGACTACTGTTACCTGTGTTTGATTTTGGTGAGCTGTTTGTATTTATTGGCCTAATATTAACTATTGGTGACAATGGGTACAAGGGGGAACCCATGAGGCATTCCTTATGAGCCACACTATCGTATCCTGGACTATTCGGACATCTTCTTTTATTTTTGGTAACCTCTCTATAAGATTTTGTGGGCGTTATATTATTATGAATGGTCTTACTTCTCTGATTTACCGTGATTATTTCATTATCGGGATTTTTATTAGGTAGGGCTGGGAAGTTTCTTCTATTTCTGTCAATATCGGGATTGTCATTCACTTTATCAGTATTTTTTCTAGGTAGTTGTTTGGCGGCGTCAAAATATGATAAGTTTTGGAAGCTCATTATCTCATTTATTCTTCTTTGCCTTGTTAGTTCTTCACATTCTTCTATGTTTTTTAATTGTTCAGAAACTAGATGGTCTTTCCTACAATAAAGGCATATTTTATTATTATGTTCAGTACATTTATCTTTATTGTGATCCTCTTTTCCACATTTTTCACATCTTGCTTTGCTATTACATTGTTTGGCTGTATGGTTAAATCTATAACAGTTAAAGCAAAGAGTAATTGGTCTAATATAGGTGGCTACTGTTAGTCTGTTATTGTATATGGACACATACCTTGGGAAGTTTTTTCCTATAAAGGTGAATATATAGGATCCTGTTGGGATATATTTTATTTCTAGCGATTCTTTATCTTGTACTCTTCTATTTAAACGGCGAACTTCTGCTACTTTATACATTCCTCCTGATTCCTCATTGGCTCTATCTATCACCTCTTTTTCTATCATACTACTACCCACTCCTTTCACTACTCCCTTACAAGATACTAAGGTTGCTGGTATAAAGGTTTTATACCCCATTTTTACAATCTGGTCACTTTTCTTGAAATCATTGGCATCCTTTGGAAGTCGGAACGACACACAAACTCTATTTCTTCCTTTCTTTTCTATATTTTTAATACCTTTAATTCCTGAATTGTATAGAACTTTCCCAAATTCCACTGGATGCAAGTTACCCACGTTTTTGTCACTGTGCTCCACCATTACATTGAATGGACCAGAGTCGTAAATAGAGTATTCTAGGTTGTCTAAAAAGGTGTTTATCTTTTTCACTTCGTTTAGGTTATTTTGAGTTCCATTATGTATATTATTTTCATTACCGCCACCGCCCGGGTCGGGCGGCGGGTCCTCCACGTCCATGTGGTTTGATCGACTTTTAGGTTAGTTGGATATTTTCTACTATTTAAATTTAATGCTACTGCGAAATAACTATTCTAATCACTACTTGATTACCACTTCGCTATAATGTTTGATATATCTGTGCTCGATGACTGAATTTTCACCAATTTGATTAGATTTATTCCTATGTCTTTACACGTCCTTATGCTTCGGAAGATCAACATGGAATCCCAAATGAATCTTTAATAAATAAAATGACACTTGTCAACAATGTCTCTTTCTTGTAAATGACCTTCTTCGTTTTTGTCTATTTGGCCTTTTTTCAATTGGATATTGGGACAATGTTATCTTTAATAATTATTTATATTATCTCATTATATATGTTTTTTATATAACATAACTAAATAATAATGCAATGCGAATGTGAATCCATGGAAATACAGTAAAGCACGTAAAATTAACGTTCTGCGGATATCTATTTCTTGATGTCCCGAGAATTTACTAAATTAGACGTATTTAAAACGTCCATAATTGGTCCTGGACGTACAGACGTTAAATGGACATTTAATGGACGTCCTTAGGACGTCCTGTGCTATCTGGGCTAGGACATTGAGACCAAAACAAGACAAAAAAATCGTCTTTTAGATGTCGTGTGCTATCTGGGAATATATACAGGAGCAAAGTAAACATTTCGTAGCCCCCTTGCATGAAAGAACTTTGTATCTGTGACCTACAAGCGCGAGCGACGTATGAATGTCCCCTTGCAATGGGGACTGTAGCCCTACAGCCCTTACAGGTAAGCCGCCACTGGCAATAGTAATCTGGGCGCGATATTCGGACATCGATGGACATTAACATACTGTGTGTGTCTCGGAGAATAAGTTGGTAAAAATTAGAAGGGAATAGTTAGAAATCATTGATTATTAAAACTAATTTCACCTAACACCATTCAGATAGAGGCTAAATTCAATTTACTTTGACACGTTATTGCAAAACACTGTAAATATGGAATAAAACCCAAAAATAAATTCTTTAGCTGCTTTATTTATTATTTATGTGCCGAATAAAAATATAAAAAATGAGGAACAATATGGATGTATTAAATAAAAAAGCAATATACAAAATTGCGTAAATATATCTCAAAAATAGCACGTTAGACGAGGTAGAAATAATTAAAAATGATCTACGATATTCTAAGCTCTAAAGGTTTATAAGTAAAAGTATAAAAACGTGAACTTAGTTATCATCATTGTAGGGTCTACCTACATTAAGCAGTATCGTAATAAGCTTAAGCTGTAAATTATTTTTAACTCTTCTACCATCTATATCTATACATTTCCATAATCTTAAATTATATTTATGAGATATTCTTTATCATTTAAATTAAAGAACAAAAATATTTACAGTTAATACTTACAGCAAAAATAATGTTTAATAAATACAGAAGTAGGTACAAATAAAAACAAAAAATATATATACAAAGGCCATTGAATTATTTTTTCTATTACAGATTTTAAAGTATAGTACAGTAGAAATAGCTGAAGCCCACAAGAGCATTTAAGCGCAGCACGTCTCACAGGTTTTGTTATTTCTGTCGATCTATACTACATTTTCGATCGCTACACAATTCGTACAATTTTTCTTTAGTGAATCCAAGAATATTTATTTTACAATTACAATGGATAATAATAATCTTTCAAACTATACCTGTGGAGGAGACAGATGTATTTGAACAACTTAGAAAGTGACTAAACATGCGATATGGCCACGAACACTTATACCACTCATAATTAAAGAATCGCAAATAGAAACGAGACGAGACCCTTCAAGAATATGAAGTAGTTATTGCCAGGTTGGTGCGATTTGCTTACCCATCAGCTCCAAAAAAACATGATTGAATATTTGATAGTCTAAACATTTGTTGATGGACTCTGTGACTACGAAATGCAGATAACACTCATAAAACATTGGTCGATGTCTCGTCCGCTGCTCTAGAGTCTGAGGTAGCTACACAGGCTTTTGGAGGCTTTTGGAGGACTGTAAAAGAAGAAATTGTGGAGAAAAGCTCGACCAACTAGTGAACATAATGAAAAGTATTACTGAAAAGAAGATAAAGACCATCAGGTGCTGAAATTGCGGTTCGCAATTCGTACAAATGTCCTAGGGTCACAGCAAATGAAGAAAATTGGAGCGGGTGGTCCTAGAGTCGTAGACAGCGAACTCGTAAATAGTAAAAAGTATACAATTTTACCATCAAGGTTTCGACTGCGGACTGACACAGGTGAAATTGCTAATATACATCACTTATACTGTTATTATCGCCGATATTGAAGATGGATGTTATACTTGGAATAGATGTAATGAACTAAGATGGTTTCCAGTTGGATTTTAAAAACAGAGTGATCAAAGTTAGTGCCGAAGAGGTATTCCTACATCCATATGGGGACAGTACAATGCCAGTAGCTGTACAGGAAGATACGGAGGAATCTGGTAGAAATGAAACCATTATAGTAGCACGCCTACAAGAAACTATGGAATAAGGAACATATGTTATGATGGAACCTTGGAACCACGATGAAGAGATTGGTCGAGGAATTCTGATCGGAAAGGAGTTGGTCACGACTACTTTAAAAATTCGAGCACGTCTCGAAAACGTTGATGATTACACAATTACTAACAAGAAAGATACCAGAATCCAAAACCCTTATAATTTGCCAGACAACTTCTGATAATTCCAATGATAATTTCGAGCAAATGATTGCAGTTGAACAATGTTATAAAAATGATTAAATTTGACCGATAACTAATGCAGCTTTTAAAAAAGCAAAGTTGAATATCTTACGAACTTTATTTCCAAAGGTAATGTTTAAAAAAATTTCATATGGATACAATTTTATGGAACACTACTGTATATCTTTTAAAGACCCAAAAAATACATTATTCGAACTTTTTGCGCTGACACTCGGTATACATTTTAACTGAAGACATTACTGATAACTTTAAGCTTTACATTATCTGAATATACACATTATTCAAAAACGACGCAGTCAAAGAAAGACTATCGATGGATTTTACAAAAAAGAGGCATAAGACAAGAATTACATAAATGAATACAGGTACTGATACATTCTAAAATAGAAAATTTGTATTGACATATCATGTTAAATCAGCAAGTAATCTGTTTTGGTCCACTAAAGTTTACATAATAAGGCTTCTAAGCTGATACCTAACTAAAATACTCAACCATCTCGAACGTAGTTGTATTCTTCAACTATGGGTTGTGGGTATAAAGGATTCGGTAATTTTTCTTTTTTATAGTAAGTTTTCCATCGAATGTTCTTCATCAAAGTAGGTTTTCCCATATTTTTAGTTTTCTTATTTTGCTTATTTCTGTTTAATCGTCGACTCGGTACTTCTGCAATGGTTCCATTTGCTAGACGAATTTGTCTTATCCTAAAAGTTAAATTTATTATATGTATTATACGATTACTGTATTTTAAATAATATTATTAAGTTCAAAAACATAGTACTGGATGACTCATTCATGGGTTTCAACTTAAAAAGGTGCCTATAAACATAATATATGTCCAAAAACAAATCATTTTCAAAATACGGGGTATTATAGTTTCTTTTAAAAGGACCCCGCAATAATCTTATGGAAATTGGGTTTCTGTCAAATTATCTGAATTTTTGATATGTTGTAAATATTGTGATCCTGAACAAAAGTCTCCATGGACACAAAGTGCCAAAATGAATATTTTGGCAGCTACGGAGCTGCCAAAACTCCCCTGACCTGTTGCAAAATTATTCATTTTCAATACTATTTACAGATGTCAAAAGCAGGGTTGCCAGATAAATATGGACGTAAGTCGCAGAGCTCAATAGCTGAAATAGCCCAAAATCGTAGATGTCAAATCTTAATATAGCCCAAAATCGCGGGTCAGAAGCTTTATTAATATTTGGAAGTTCAAGCTAACTTTTAAATTAGGAACACTTGTCTAATTTTTATATATCTTTTATTTAAATAATTTTTTTAACAAAATTAAATATTGAATATCTACTTGAAACATTAAATCGAAGGGTTGGAGCAACAGTATGACCACTTAAGTCTAAGTTCAATGTGTTATCAATGACAAGTGACGGCGACTTTTTTATTACAAAAGATACAGCTCTAAACTATAATATGAAAATAGCATAATCTGTGAATAGTCGCAGAATCGGAAAATTTATCGCAAAATTGTTTCAAAAGTAGCCCAATCTGTGATAAATCGCCTAATCTGACAACCCTGGTCAAAAGCATATTTTAATTATTCTAATATATATAGGGTAATGCTTTTAAGGTCACTGGATTCAACCCTCATGTCATATTGGACAAATTGACAGTTGACAGCTGTCAACTGTCAATTTGTCCAATCTGACATGAGAATTGAATTCAGCGACCTCAAAAACCCAAACTCTCAATGTGAAAAGAGGATATTTACTTTTATATTCCTCGTTGACCGTGAATTGACAGCTGTCAACGGTCAATTTGTCCAATCTGACATGAGGGTTGAGTCCAGTGACCTCAAAAACATTACCCTATATATTAGAATAATTAAAATATGCTTTTGACATCTGTAAATAGTATTGAAAATGAATAGTTTTGCAACGGGTCAGGGGAGTTTTGGCAGCTCCCTAGCTGCCAAAATATTTATTTTGGCACTTTGTGCCCATGGAGACTTTTGTTCAGGATGCCAAAATCTACAACATATCAAAAATTCAGACAATTTGACAGAAACCCAATTTTCATAAGATTATTGCGGGGTCCTTTGTTTAAAAAAACGCTTTGGCAGATTTTATTATCAAAATTTGTTGATATTTTAATGATGTGCGTGCCCACGGGACAGTTGGTCCGTTTTTTTCAAGAAAAAATAACACTGAGTTGTTACCTTTTCCGACTATGAACCTTATTCTCTAAAGTGTTTAAATGACATCCTCTGTCAATGTCAATATAAATTAATTTGTGAAGCTTAGAGGTCGAACCGTTAAAGAGTTCGGCATAGTTATTCAGAAACAGAAGGTGGAACAATATGTTCTGTATAAGGCATTCTTTGATTTAGTACACTAATATTGAATAATTTAGTTATATACCAACCCAAGCCATGACTATTTATATTCTTCAATTTTGAAAAAAAACTATCAATCCACATAGGTGGTTTTAAATACGTCATATCTCTCTCTCTCTCTCTCTCTCTCTCTCTCTCTCTCTCTCTCTCTCTGTATCTGTAACGTGTAGAGGGTAGGTTACCTTACGGCACTTAGGTCACTAGGTCTATTGTGCATCCTCCTAAGTTGATAGGCACCGCCTAGTTTGTGAGTCAGCCTACAGATTCAATGTAGTTGACAACGTCGCCAAGAGGTGCTTCTGTTATATCAGCCGGTGTTAGCCGATACTCGCCATACACAAATCCTCTAATAAATGCGAGCGTCGAGCAATCGTAAAGGATATGCGCGATGGTCGCATCTGGTTCTCACCCTCTACAGAGTGCGGATTTTAGCCCCATGATATGGAGATGCTTCCGTACTTGGCAATGACCAGTCAAAATACTTGTGACTAAGCGTAGATTATGTCTAGTCATAGTCAAGTATTTGTTTGCTGCAGTGTTGTCAGGATAACTTCATCCATTCTTTACTTGAATTTCACAAGGGAATGTTCTTTAGTTAGGTCTGTCACTACCTATTTTGTCAGACTAATAGAAGGGCCAGGTCCAAAAAGTATTTGGTTGACTGCTTTCTTAGCTAGTGAATCAGCAAGACGGTTACCTTTCGATGTGGCGTGACCTTTGATCCATCTTAAGGTAACCACATTGTTGATGGATACTTTGGCCAAAGCTTCGTGATATTCTAGTACTAACCCTGAGTAAATTTGTGGTCTGTTTAGGGTGAGTAGTGCTTGTCTGCTATCTTTTTAGATGAGCATGTTCCTTCCAGTGATATTGTTTCTGGTGATTTTCTGCTGCTATAAGAATCCCCTTTAGCTCTGTTGCTTACAGCCCATTTTATATTTAGGTTTAAGAATCTGGAGTATAGACCACATCCTGAGCCTTGTTTTGTTTTAGAACCCTCGGTGTAGATATGAATCGTACCTGCCACTTCCGGCTCTTCTATTTGTTCTCTTATAACTTTATATGGCTTATGGAAGATATATCTTGGTGAGATGGAATCCATGTTCGCTTGAAGCAATGGAAGCGTAGTGAGACTAAGAATGCATGACTTCCACGGCTCTGATCGGTGTTGTTTTCATGGCTCCTGTTCTTTGAATTTCTTCTAATTTACGGATAGCTGTTTTTTTGGGTTTTCGGTACCCAGACAACTGCACCTGATGTTAGCATAGGTTTTATGATAGCCGTGTAATTCCATGCGACGACTCTGGGGGAGAAACCCTAGATGCGCCCCACAGTTCTTTTAACTCTGTTTTACTTATTTGATTAGAAGTATTAGAAAAACGCGAAAAGGTCTTCCTAAACAAATAATGGAGAAATGCATTTTACTACTTGGGTATTTGTGAGAAAAGGCATCAGAATCAAGAAACACAATTTATAAACAAGACACCAGGTCCGAAAAAAAGAGCAGTGTTAATAACAACTGACATTTTCCGAAGAGCATTAGATACATCAGATGCTCTAATACAGTGGTCGCCAACCTCTCAATGTGTTGAGCTACTTTGTTAATTTTGCAATAAACAGCGAGCTACCCACACGGAAGCCACGTAACGCAACGTAAATAAAATAATCCACAGTTAATTTTTTATTATTATATGTATTTATTTTACTATTTAACTGGTAATACATAATACATAGGTACTAATAATAAACTAATAACAAAATAACTAATATTACTAGTACGTACTTGTTCATAGCTACATTCCTACCTACCAAACGAAGGTGTTTGAAAAATAAACACAAACTTTTATCCAGTCACAACGGCATGTCACGTAAGATTTAAAAATAGTTAATAATAATAATAACAAAAAAGTACGCACTATCATGAACATAAACATTGAAAAATAAAAAAGCACGTTCAATGAGAAGGCTGACACTCAGACTCATTGATAATTTTTTTAATGTTTGCAGTATAATTTGATACAGCCATTCGAATACAATTATCCAAATGTTCATCTGCAAGTCTATTGCGATATTTGTTCTTAATAAACTTCATATTGGAAAAAGAAGATTCACACAAATAGGTTGAAATGAATAATGCTTTCACTTTCAAGGCAACACGGCATAGAACTGAATATTTGTCTTTACTTACAATAGGCCAGATACATTTGGTACTTGAGACTAACGATTTTAAGGCTAAATCATTTTGAAACTCAATTACTTCCATTTCTGTTGCAGCGATGTCTTCGCCAAAGTTCTGCATAACACCAGTTGCAAACTATTGGATATCAATTTCCATAAAGGGTGAAACAACAAACTGCGCTACTAAAGCCATTTCGTTGAAATCCTTAAAACGATTTTTGAAGTTATTCTTCAGGGTAGAAACTATTTCTACATGATATTTGCTGTCATAGGGTTCTAATGGATTTTGAGATATTTTTTCTAAAAGAATAGGAAAATGCTTGGCATCGTTGTTAATTAGGTTTTGTTCCCAAAACTCCAGCTTTTTGATAAATGCTTTTATATCAAAAATCATTTCCGCTAGTTCTTTGTCTCTCCCCTGAAGCTGCAAATTAAGTTCGTTTAATTTCTCTGTAATGTCCACGAGAAAACCAAAATCTCTAAGCCAGATTGAATTTTCTAGTTCCGGAGTCGGTTCATCGCGTTGTTTGAAAAATTGAACTATGCCAGATAGGACATCATTAAAACGTTTCAGCATCCGTCCTCTACTTAACCATCGGACTTCAGAGTGAAGGAGTAGGTCCCTGTATTGACAGTCAACTTCATCAGCCAAGGTTTTGAATAATCTTCTTTGTAACGCTTGAGCTCTAATCTTGTTCACAATTTTTACCACCAGTTTCATAACGTTGTTTAGTTTCAGGAAATTTCTACATAATGCTTGCTGATGGATATTGAAGTGGTAACAGAGAAATTGCGGAAAGTTTCATCTTTACGACATAACGCCACCAGACCCTTATCACAACCCACCATAGCTGGAGCGCCATCGGTTGTCAAGCCTACCATTTTCGATATTGGAATTTTCTCGGAAGAAATAATATTTTTTAAATGAGAAAACAACTCCTGTCCAGTAGTGTGTCCTTTCAGTGAAATAAACTTCAAAAGATCTTCTTTAATCGTAAATCACTAAAAACCATTCTGACGAACACGGCCATCTGGGCAGTATCAACGACATCTGTTGATTCATCCAGTTGAAGTGAAAAATAAACACAGTAATCTAAGTCAGTTCTTAACTGTAAAAAATATCATTGCTCATTACTTCTACACGTCTCATCACTGTATTAGCAGAAAGTTGCATAGATTTTATAGCTGAAACTATCTCGTCTTTATTTCTAAAGTTGGCAAATAACGAATCAGTAGCTTCTAAAAACGCCTGTTTTATCATTTCCCCGTCTTCTTAAGTTTTCTTTTTTTGTGCAATTATCTGGAACACGGTACGATGCTTCAGTTGCAGCCTTATTTTTGTCGACTGTTCTTAAAAATATTGATTGTTGTCCAATTAAGTGCTTTTTTAACTGTTTCAGTTTCTCCTTTCTGGTGGCAGAATGTAGTGGGAATGATTTTTCAAAATTAGAATGTACAGTTTGATGATGTCTCTCAATATTTCCATTTTTAGCAACGGAGACCGAAGTATTACATAACAAACACACATTTTTATCTTTAACTTCTGTAAAAAAGTATTGTTCTTCCCATTCCGAATGAAAGTGGTATGTCTTTACCTTCTTACAACTGCTTGCCATAATATTATTTTTTGTTGTTCTCTACTAACCCAACCGCTGGACGTTGGTTACGCGTTCAGTTTTAAACTAAGCGCAATGTCGCCGCGCCGCCGTGCGTATTTATCCCGTTCAAAGCAATCCTGATCGTTCTCGAACACTAACGCGCTGGTCCGGCTGGTCGGTTCTAGCCGATTCTAGCTTGATGGCGTCAACGGCAGATCGCTCACCGCAACGTTGCCGCTGTTTATGTTTAATATTATGACAATTAGATTTTTTTGTGGAATTTTCGAAAGCTTCTCTGATTTTTACAGTTTGTATTTTTTAAATTAAAATCGTGAGAGCTACCAGAATTGCCTCCGCGAGCTACCGGTAGCTCGCGATCGACAGGTTGGCGACCACTGCTCTAATATCATCTTAACTTGCTGGAATCATATGTCCAACTTGAAAATATAAATATAACAACAGATGATTCACAATCAGATGCTTTGGATTTAGAAAGCTTTCTGGGTTCCAAATTAGATAGTTTAAAGTTACACAACGAATTACAAAACATTTAGTTGAATTTTCTTTGTACATTTAAGTGTAAATAAAAGTTTGTTTTTATCTTTTTTGTGTCTCATAATTTATAACCTTTACATTGTTATAACATTATTAAATGTGGAAAATGATATAAATTTGTTGTGGGCTCCTTTAAAATGTTTAAATTTTGTTCAGGCAGTGTTTAGGAACCAAATTATATATTTTTTTTTGTATCACCGGCATCAACTGCTACGGTTATTAGCCTCGTGTTCTGTATAGACTTTGATATTGTTTCCCAGCGCCACTTTAGGAACAGCACTGTTAATTAGTACCCAACAGACACAAATAAGTTAATTCAGCTTCGGAATATAAAATAATGTTGGGCAAAATAGTGGGCTACTGTACCATAATGTGAAGGCTGAAAGTAAAATACAACCCAACAAAAAGTTTCTTTCAAACTTTGAAAAGGTCAGATATCAAAATCACATCACGTATTTTTTATTATAATTTACCTTTGAGGATTTCGTTTCTTGTTTCTGTGAGGATTCACTCGCCTAGAGTTTTTAGACAATTCTGGTGATTTATAAGCAAACATCGTCTTGTCATTTAAGTTTTCGTTAACTTCGAAATGGTAGGTTATGGGGATGTTATATTTCAAAGATGTTACGTTATTTGTAGAATCATTAATAAGGGGAACAGGAATTTCATTTAGTTTATTATCTTTGTCAGCTTTATACTGTCGTTTGAGTTTCTTCTTCTCACGGTTGTTCACTGTTTTCAAACGCGTTTGGCAGATGAAGTGTTTTTGTTCGACGCAACTCCTTGAACTCCACCTAAAAAGAAGAAATATACTTTGACACCTGTATAACATTAATATGAATCAAAGATATAATAACATAGGTTGTCAATCAAAACCCCCATTGTTTATGATTTGAATTAAAGGTAATATGCTGTACTCTGTGACATTTGCATTATTTGAAACAGCGTCGCCAAATTGTTCTATTAAAAAATCTCAGAAATAGATAAATTCATCATTAATTCACTATAAAAACAAAACTGTGATTAAGTTTTAGATGTATTTATAAATATATCTAATGAAAGATGGTATAAAGATGTAGAATACTTACATAAATTGTAAGGCAGGATCAACAATAATGCAGTGCCACCTTAAGCTTTCTGGATCTTTAGGAGATACTTCTTTAGGAAAACCATTGAATGCTAGAGGTTTTCCAGAAGCAGCCCATTTCCAAGCCATCTTGCGCCAATCGTAAACCCCTCCTAACCATCGTTCCAGAGGATCTTAAAAAACCACATGGTAGATTTTATTTATTTATGGTTAGTAATCTTTTTTCAGAGATAATTGAGGTTTATACAAAAACAATCAAATTAAAGACTACTTAGAAATCCAATTGCAAATAAAGGTCGTTTCATCGTTGTAATTGGATAATAAGAATAAGGGTCAACTTCAAATACGAACTCTAAAGGCCCATATAATAACTATAGAAAGCTTTTATTTAAAGTTCGTTTCAAGTATACCATAATTTAACCTTAACTGAACAAGAGAATAATAAATTATTTTCAAATGACGAACATCTATACATGTTTTAAGATATTTAAATTTTGAAAGAAGGCATTTTAAAGATCTAGCAATATCTTTGACATGGGCATTCCACTTAAGATGCTAGTCTAGTTTTATTCCTAAATATTTAATTTCATTCACTGACCTAATAGTTGTATTCTGATGGTTTTGAATCCGTATTTCATTAAAGGGTGGTATGAGGATTTATTAATACAAAAAGGAACAAAATGGGTTTTCTCAAAATTAACAGTTAATTTCTTATGATTAAACCAGTCAATAATTTTACGTAAATCTGTTTCTGTTTTTCTTTTTAGATCCTCCCAATTTTCAGCTGTATAAATAATGGCGGTGTCGTCAGCAAAACTAATTATGTTACCTTCAGTTTCAATACTGAAAAGGCCATTTATATAAACATTAAACAATAGAGGACCCAGAACGGTGCCTTGTGGTACTCCATAAGTAAGTGTTTTATATTCACTAAAGACATCATTCACTTTAACTATTTGTTTTCTGTTATTTAGGTAACTAGCCATCAAATCAAGTGATGTACCTTGTATTCCTGCATCTCCCAAGGCATCTATCAACTGTTTATGAAAAACAGTACCGAATGCCTTTGCGAGATCTAATAATACACAGGCTATTGGTTTCCTATCATCAACGAGTTTGTAGATGGTCTTTGTTAATTCGGCAATTGCATCATTCGTAGAAAAGCCTTCTTGAAAACCATATTGGCATTTAGATATTAATTTATGTTTATTTTAAAAATTTGTTTAAACGTATTTTTAAAGCTTTCTCAAATATTTTAGTAAGTATAGTTATTAAAAAGATTGGTCTATAATTGGAAACATTATTCCTATCACCTTTTTTGTGATTTGGTAATATAATTGCCACTTTAAAATGATTTGGACATTCACCAGTATTAAAAATGTGATTTATTAGGTTAACTAATTGAGAGATAATTTCATTTTTTATATTTTTTACTATTTCGGTTGTTAGACCATCTATTCCTGGTGCCCTTTTACTTTTTAAAGATTCCTAATTCTATTTATCTCTGCACCAGTAACATGAGAGAGATAAAACGATTGTAAAATGGATTTATTTTTCGGTGAAGGTGTTTGGGGTTTAATAATTTTAGTAGCATACATCAGTGAAATGTTGGACAAATCGATTTGCAATGCTTTTGCTGTCCCTAATAGATGATCCATTTTGAGCAAGCACTTCCTCTACGTTTTTAATATTGTTATGTGAGCCATTTTATTATTCAGTCATGCTCTAATCCTCCAAGTACCTCTCTGTCTTATTTGGCCTTTGAGGCTCAACTTGTCCGATTATCATACATAATTAAACCCCTTAAGACCAAACATATGTGACGAATATGGCGGAGGCACTTTCGCGAAGATTCCTGAGTCATCGTGATAACGTTTCTGGTCTACTCCTGTATTCCGGATAAGAGATATTTTGGTGGAGGAGCATTCTAGATCACCAATTTTTATATAAATATTGGTGGAGGACTAACAAAAAGTCATTAGTAGATAAACAGTGGTGAATATAAATAGTGGACGATGTTAAAACATTCGAAATATACAGGGTGTATCTAAATAACACCGAAAAAATTTAAGGGGTGATTCTGTGATGAAAATTAATGTGAGTGTTTGGCATAAAATTTTTTGAAAAAACCCTCCCCGGAAAAGTTACACCCCTTCGAAAATAAAAAAAAATAATTGTTTTTCTTTTTTATTTTCCCTGTATATCAAGCTAAAGACACGAAACTTGGTAAACAGTATCTGACAATAAAAGTACACTTTTTGAAATTTTTTCAACCCTGAAGTATGCTTAGTTTTTTAACTCTACAAGTTTTTTCTAAAACTTGAGCATTTACGAGAAAAAAAATCTAATGCAATGCATTTTCAAAAAGATGAGCTAACGCGAGTGTATTTTGCGTCAAGTCTAGTGGCCTGTGCTTTGCATAAAAACATTAATACTGATACCAGGATTGTGTAGTGTCATTTTCTGTTACTCATCTTATTGTTTCACAAGTTTTATGATTGTGTATTGTAGGAAATATTAGTTGATTGAAAATATGAATACATATTCGAATTTGGAAATGGCAGATATGCATTTTACATACGGTCGTGCTAACGGTAATTCATTGGAAGCGCAAAGATTTTATGCTGAACAGTACCCACAGCGTAGACTACCCCATCATACTACGTTCACAACTATTCACCGACGCTTGCGGGAACGTGCGAGGGAACGTGGTACTTTTGAAAAAAAAAGTTATGATTCTGGTCGTACTAGAAAAGTTAGAACTGCAGCTGTAGAAGAAGCCGTACTTAATTCAATTAAAGAATTCCCAGAAACTAGTACCAGGAGAATAGCTCGTGTCCTACATGTAAGCCATTCCGTTGTTTTTAGAATTTTAAAAGAACAAATGTTGTATCCCTATCATCTTCAACGGGTGCAGGCGTTAATGATTCGAGATTTTTTACCCCGTGTGATTTTTTGTCAGTGGCTTATTAATATGATTGGCCAAGCACCACAGTTCTTAGGTAAGGCGAGTTTCTCAAGAGACTGTATTAGAAATTTTCACAACAATCACCTTTAGGCTGACGAAAATCCTCATGGCTTTTTTGAAGGAAATCATCAGTATCAATTTTCATTAAACGTGTGGCTCGGAATTATTGATAATCATTTAATTGGTCCCCATTTTCTTCCGCTACGATTAAATGGTGAAGCATATTGTCATCTCCTTGAAAAATTACCTGTTCTTCTTGAAGAGGTTCCCATTCAAATTAGGCAACATTTATGGTTTATGCACGATGGTGCACCAGCTCATTTTAGTATACGTGCAAGAACTCACCTGGATGAGGTGTATGCCAATCAATGGATAGGTCGAGGAGGACCTGTAAACTGGCTAGCCCGCTCTCCTGACCTTAATCCTTTGGATTTTTGCATATGGGGATATCTGAAATCTTTGATATACACAAACCCAGTTGAAAATATTGATGATCTGCGAAACCGCATTGTAGCAGGGTGTGAAACTATAAGAAATTCTAGAGGAATATTTCATCGTATACGCAATTCTATGAGGAAAAGGGTAGATGCTTGTATTGAAGCTGAAGGCGGTCATTTTCAACATTTATTATAATTGTATTGTCGATATTCGACAGGTTTTTGTTCATTGTTTGTTCACTTTTGTTTTTAGTTGTAGAATTGGCTGTTGTTTAATAAAATGCTATTTTACATGAGCTTATTTATTTTTTTCTCACAAATGCTCAAGTTTTCGAAAAAAACTTGTAGAGATAAAAAAGTTAGTCAATGAATTGGGCTTTTTAGTCATACTTTTTTAAAGAAAAAATTTTCATCTAAAAAAAAGTTGTAAGAAAAAATATCTTAGGGGTTGATTATTTCAACCTCTTCTAAGCATAATTCAGGGTTAAAAAAATTTCAGAAAGTGTACTTTTATTGACAGATAATGTTTACCAAGTTTCGTGTCTTTAGCTTAATATACAGGGAAAATAAAAAAGAAAAACCATTTTTTTTTTAATTTTCGAAGGGGTGTAACTTTTCCGGGGAGGGTTTTTTCAAAAAACTTTATACCAAACACTCACATTAATTTTCATCACAGAATCACCCCTTTAATTTTTTCGGTGTTATTTAGATACACCCTGTATATAAATTGAGAATAGTACTGTTATAAAATAAATAAGTGTATTAAATAAACTGTTTTAAAATAAACAAACATCACAATATTTTCTTCTTGTTTCGACCTGTTTACAATGTTCCAAAGATTTTTAGAATAGTTACTATTTTTTTTTATTTCATTCTTAAAATAATCTTTTTTTGCAGATTTTATTATTTTCTTTAACTGGTCTCTGTAGCTAAATAATTCATTTCTTTTTTTCAGGTGATTTGGGTCTTTCAAGTACTCTTTGTACAGATTATTTTTTATATTTACGGACTTTACCAAACCTTTTGTAATCCATTTTTGTCTTTTTTGTTCACATTTCTTTATTTTTAACAATGTTGTATTTTTATTTATAAATAGTTCTAGTGATTTTGTCAAGATATCGCATTTTTCATTTACATTTTTCGAGTTATAAAATTCTTTCCAATCTTTATTTTTTAAGTCGTTTCTAAGTTCTTTAAAATTGATTTGTTTTTTAATAAAATCTCTATTTTTCAAATATAATAATTTTAATGGCATACTTAAAAATGTCGCTTTATGGTCAGTCACGGTTGTTTCAATGGTTGCAACTACAATACAAATTTTAATAGGTTCGGATTTACATTTAAAAAAATAGACAACTTTTAGAGTTTCCCTGTGACCTGGTGTGCTTATTAATCATAAATTCATACAGTATGTTAAGATATTCAAAAACTACATCACTTCTATTATCTTCAATATTTAAGTTAATATCGCCTAAAAAAATATGAAATCCTATATCATTTCTTGGGTTAAACATTTTTTCACTTTGAGTTAAATTACACTTAACAAATAGAGGTGAAAAGTCTGGTCCTTAAACTATTTTGTTTATTGCTGTCATAAATAAAAGCTTGTTTTAAATTTCAATTAAATTGCATTTTTGTTTTAATGTCAAATTTAGTAAAGTTGGTAGACTCTTTTCTCAATGTTTGATAACTTTTTTGATGTACAGGGTGACATAAATAAAAATAATAATATATATTTTTAAGGTAGGGTCTCTTTTGGTCGAGTAGGCGAGACGTTTGGACGCGGCGCTTAATCGCTTACGTCTAAACGCACCTGATCGCACCTAGTGGTCTGTTTAAATGGATTTTATTTTATAAATATTATTGTATACATACCTAGTGTCTTTTTACTCAAAAAACTCTTTATTAGCTTATCTTGATTCCTATTTTGAACAACAGCAAGATTGCTGTGCATATCTCGACATTGAAACAACGCTTCGTTCCATGACAGGGGATGTTTGCTAAAATAGTAACACCTGTGACCCTGTCTGATGAACTTTGGAGGACATACGTAGCTTCTCTTCACTGGATGACGGTTAGGAAACGTTGGTGAGAGGTCTTGAGATGATGAAACTAAAATAAAATCAATAATTACAACAATAGACTAAAATTAAATGGAATATTATAGGTACGAATGTAGTTATGTAATTATTTTGAAAATGTATTTAAATATTAAGCCAAATCAATTTTCATTGCATGCTCGTAACTTTTAAAAGTTATATTTTTTGGTGCCTTATATTTTTCCAAATTCGTATTTTTTTAGGTCCGCCTCTGGTTACCTAGCGCCATTATTTCACTCAATATAATATAATACGAAGTCTTATATTTCATGGCTATAAATATTAACTAAACTGTTTGGATGTTTGCACGTTTTCTATTTATTGTTATTAGTCGTCTAGTCTAGCCTTTATGGTGACATCATTGTCGCATGAATGATGGCATGCATCATTCGCACAAATTAAATTATAAAAAAATTGTATGATAAACCGAATTAGGTCAAGATTATGTATTCGGGAAAGGAAAATAAATTACAGCTTTTTTTATTAAATAACATTCATGAAGCTTAAAAGGTTCTAATGTAAATTAGAAGTAAATTCTGCATAACTATGCATGCATATAACTAAAGGTTTTTTGTTGTTAGGGGTTGCCCAATTTGGACCAGTTCTGACATTTTTTGTTATAGCAATTACAAATTTTAGAAACTGATAGTTTAAATTGCTCCATAATTTTCATTACAGTTTAGAATATTAGAATAATGTCTTTTGGTTTAAATTTAAATTTTTCCAAACCTTCACAAGTGGTACAATTAAGGCAACCGGTTGTTTAGTTTGTACCAGATGGTTTCCTAAATTGTACTATCCTTTATTACATACATAATATTTTATTTTGGACTAAAATAATCAATCTCTAGTTTTAATAGTTTATTAGTTAGTAATAATAAAAATAAAACATTTGAACAACAAGAAAACTTAAAACAAATAGAAATTCTGTTAAAATTAAAAATATGAAAACGACCTTCTTTGGTATAAAAAATTCTGCAATATGTTTAAGAGCACATATCACATATGTAATTGTCTGAAGCATCTGCACATGATTCATGTACCCATTCTTTACATCTTATGTATTGAATCATATCTTCTATTAAGCATTTCTTACAAATCTTGCAGTACCATTCACTTTTGTCATAATTTATGGATACTAAAATATCTTCATTTGTTGATGATGATGATGGTTGGTGTAAGTCGTATTGTATTTGAGAATTTTCTTTTTTTGGCCTCTTTTTTCCTTTCGAAATTGATTTTCCTTTTGCTGGTTTCTGTGACATCTTAACCCCAAAATTTCATTTAACAGCTCTTTTCTTCTTTTCTACTACGGCATTTTGTTTTACTTCCAGTTGCTCTTTATAGGGAGTGGGTGTAATAAATTTCAGCCGTCTGTGCGCTCTTACCCATTTTTTGTTTTTTTAGCTTTCACTAACATAGGTAAAGGAAAAATATCTACAATTGACAAATTAAAATTTTTGGTTGTGTATCAATTTTTTCAGTGTTAACGTTGTCAGCTACTCTGTGAACATCTACCAAAACTTGAATTTGTGGTGGCTCTCTAATATTGAAATTTTCTTTTAAAATTTCCATTGGCATCATCTCAATTGAAATATTTTCTTTATTAGTCAATAGTTCTGAAGGACCAAAATCATCATCAGAAAGAGCATATCTATTTACAGGCCATATTCCACATTTGCGAAAACCGTTTACTATAGCAGCAGCTTTGCCATAAGCTTCATTAAGAAGAGAAGCAACATGAAATTGCGTAACTCCCATTCCAGGATGCTCTCTTAACCACTTTTCAATGGCTTGGTTATAGTATGTTTCTAAAAGCTTGAAAACCGAAACATCTAGGGGTTGAAGCCGATGGGTCGTGTGGCCTGGTAATTGTAAAATAATTAATTAGACCATTGTCACGGGCCAAAACTATAACATCATAATTTTTAGAATGGGTAGTATGACCGTCCAATACCAAAAGAACTTTATTTTCCTTTGTAGGCTTAACCACTTCAATAAATTTTTTTAACCAAGTAACAAATAGCTCAGAGTTAATGTAGCCTGTGTCTGTATCTCCACCAAACAGCCAATGGTCAGTTCTGCTGACATTCGTTTTCTCTTAAATATAATCATTGGTGGGACAAATTGACCTTAGGTACTTGCGCACACAACCATCGTAGTGTTGACAACTCTTTCTCCGCTGGCAATAGTACCAACTTGATATTTGCCTTTTTTGGATAACATTTTTTGATGACTTTTTTGGACTGTCGAGAATCCTGACTCGTCTACACTATATATTTTTGTGGCATTTAATTTATTTTCATCGATGATTTTTTTCAAGTTTATTAAAGAAATCTGTGACATTTTTTTTTTGTTAAATCATCTGCAACGTGATAATGATATTGATTCTGGTTTTGGTGGCGTTTTATAAAATTGTAGTACCACTTCTTCCCAGTCATACCTATTCTTTTACTAAAATTATGTTTTATAGAATTTTTTTTTCTGCGAATTAAAATGCTGCTTTTCTGGTGTCCTTAATGGTAAGACCAAAGAATACTTCCTCTAAAGCAGGAATATGTTTTTCCAGCCCTGCTTCCACCTCAACAGAGAAAAGTGTAGGCCTACCTAATATTTTTTTACCGTTTAAAGCCCTTTTATTCGTTGCTGCTAGATGTCTCTTGAAAGTAGGCTTAGGAACTTCGTACATGGTACATATTTCATTTAGACCATATTTTCCTTTTTTGTATTTCGCAATGGCTTCTTTCATATTTTTCTCTGACCACTGACAATATTTACCTTTTCGTTTTCTAAGAGGTGGTATTCTAAAAAAAAAAAAACATGCACGAGTCGTTTAAATTGTACCGGTACAAATTAAGATCGGAAACTTTTATTTACAATTCGTTAAGTTTATGAGGTTATATTTTAAATTTGTACAAAAAGGTGCTAAATATAGTTACTTTTAGACTTAAATTAATCAAATCGTCCTAAATATCATAGATTTTGTTTTAAATCTTAAGAAAATGTAGTCGAAACTTACTTGAAATAGGTATAAATTATTTAATCACTCTTTGCTTTTCGAAACCGTTGCGGAACGACACTCTCTTTAAGGCTGGGAAATGGACTAAAAATGGCGGCCGTTTTTGTCATTTTACAACGTGTTACTAAATCATGCTTTTTAGATTAATGAAGAAAAATTACAAGGAAATTGAGTTATAATTATAAACAGAAATGTTGTAAGAATGAATTGAATATACACATATTCGATAATAACTAATCATAATTTCAAATTATCATTAAAAACTTGAAAAATTTTATTGCAAGGATGATTAAGCAAATTGTTTTCAATGAATTCTCTATGATTTTTTATTAACTATCCTACACTACAATATGACGGCTGTCGGTCTAATAATTATTACAAAAAGCATGATTTCAATATGCAAATTTTGACACAATTTTTAAAATTGACGCGTTAATTGTCATGTCATTTTAGTACATCGTGTTCACCACCAATGCGACATGCAAGGCTGAGTTAACATATGCATTGAAACTTGGGCGACAACTAATGGTTGCCAATCAGAAAAGTAAACGTCATATGTCAAATTATTGGTTGACCAATTAGAAATGCAAACGGCATGTCAAATTATTGGTTGACCAATTAGAAATGCAAACGGCATGTCAAATTATTTCAAAGTACAATACGAACCGTTGCTCAAATATACTTGTATATGATAATCAATGATAATACGACCTTGCCGTATAGTTATATCTTGGATTAGAAATAGGCAAGGATAATTTCGGAAACATTTTTATCAGTAAAAAATCGTATATTAACAAAATTGTTAATGATCTGGAGCTACAAGATTTAAAAATTTCAAATATTCCACTCGAACGTAGCTATGATGAAAGCAAGATAGATAAACTGCGTTCAAATTAAAATTAACAAAAAGTAATTGCTTTATATATCAGTAAATTCTCATCCTGATTTTACAGCAAGCGCTTCAATTTTGGCTAGAAAAGTAAGTAACCCCTCTCAGAAAGATTGGTCAGAAGTTAAACGAGTTGTAAAATACCTTTAGGGAACAAGAGATTTGAACCTGTTCTTGAGTTCTTCTGATCATACGAACGATGCAAAATTAGTTGGATATGCAGATGCAAGCTGGGCTGAAGACAGAGCGGATATAAAATCGAACAGCGGTTATATTTTTAAGTACAATAATGGAACAGTAAGATGGTGTTGTAGAAAACAGTTATGTGTCACTTTCCTCGACAGAATCTGAATTTATCGCTTTATCTGAAACTTTTCAGGAGGCCGTATGGCTGGAAAAGGTACTAATAGGTTTTCAGGAAGGTATAGATAGACCTATTTTGATTTACGAAGATAATCAAAGTTGTTTAAAACTGATTACCTCTAAAAAATTTAGCAACAGATCTAAACATATTGACACCAAATTTAATTTTGTTAAAGATTATATTAAACAAGGAATTATACAATGTGAATATTGTCCAACAGAGACAAATGTCGCCGATTTATTGACAAAAACCACTTCCTGCAAAAAGATTAGTCTTTCTTAGAGACCTGTGTGGATTAAGGCTTAAGGCATCACGAATGAGGAGAAGTGTTGGAATGCATTCGTGATTATTTATTGTTTATACCCTGTATATTATATTTTTAAGTTACTTGTCAGTTTTTGAATGTAATAAAAATATTGTCTGTCTGTAAAAGTTTTATTAATTTTAATTCTTCTGCACATCTCATAAGGAGATAAATAAGACTTTAAATTCTAATGAAGTTGTCCAATATAAATCAGAAAATGTTAAGGAATGTTTGACAGTGTTGGTCACAGGAAATGCCATCTGGAATACTTGCTTCTACAGTGATCATGTATTCTTATGAAAGGATACCCATACTTCCCGAAGGATGTGGAATAGGTAAATCTCCAACAGGTTGGATGATATCGGAATCTTTTTATGAATACGTAATGAACATTTTTTATCATTGGCTTGTTTCTAATGATATCAAATATCTTGTTATTTGATATCTTGATGGGCATAAATCACATATGACCTATCTTCTTAGTACTTTTTGCCGTGAAAAGAATAATATGCTCTTCAGTTTACTGCCAAACTCCACTCACATTTTGCAGCCATGAAATGTTAGTTTGTTGAGAACATTAAAAATTAGCTGGAAAAACCAAGTTTAGAAATTTTAAATACAAAATGGGCAAATTAATTTGACATAGGAAAAGTTCACTACTGTACTATTTGAAACTCTTAATTCTGTAAATAATTTAAGCATTACCAAGATCTAAAAACATGAATAAAGAACAAAAAATAAATAATGCTGACGTTACTGTAATAAATGTGAAAGACAAAAGTTGTGAAGTAGTATTTTGGCGCAATGATATATGTTATGACAGCATTCTTCATACATTAAATTACATAATTCTACTATAGTTGAAGTTACTTCATCGTTGCATCGTAATTGTTATATAGAAATAATATACGACTTCTGCAAAATAACCAGAAGCGAGCCATTTTATATTATAATAATAAATAATTGATTTCTTACAAGATAAAAGTGCAAAAAATAGCAGCAGTTTCATATTAACGGCCTCGGTTCTTGTATATCTCAGCAGGAAATTATTCTGTAGAAATCAGAACCCATAATATATTATTCTATCTTCAGATAACAGCAGGTGTTAACTTGGAGTACATCGTCATCTGTTTATGTGGAATGCACCATTTCCTGTAAGAAAAAAATGTAATTTAAATTTTGTCTTATTTTACACTGTTGTGCACAAAATTGTTTAATTTTTTTAATAAAATAATTTACTTCAAATCTATACCACATAAATTATGGACACCGAGTTTAAAAAATTATTATAATCCATGAGCTTTTTTATTAAAAAAATATGCTAAAAAGTAAATGAAGTGTCTATGTAGGTACGTAAAATTTATTCTTTGTTTTGCTAATATATTCTTTTAAATAAATATGTTACTAGGAGATAAAGGTCCTATTAGTACAAGATCCGAAATTTCATATTTTTTTTCATAAAAATTGTTCTGCTTCTATTTAAATTAGAAAAAAAAACCAATTAATACTCCCAACCTATCTATAATTTATAGGTATTTACTTTGGTGTGATTCGCAAATCTATTAAAAGCTCTTACATTAACACCTCGTCGTGTTAAATAGCCAGAAAAAAAATATATCAACTATAAAAAGCGTTTGAAATAAACGAGTACTTTGGCAGAATTTCAAGGTTCTAACATCGATACATAGATCAATCGAGAACAGCAATCTGGCCAATATTGCAAATTTCACACTGGATTACTTCTCGCGAAATAACGATCAACAGGTGATTTCCGCCTACAGGATTAATAGCCCAAGCAATGAGGCATTTATAACAGGGTTAATTTGTGAAAAATGGGAATAAAGCTACAAATTTCTATGTTGGTCCAATTCTAGCTTCAATTTTTTAGGGATGTTTAAAAAAAATTGATTTTACATCTATGTTTAAGGTGCAACTCATTTGATTTTACGTAGTACTTCTTGCATTTTTCTATCATCTCATCTGTTTTCGGCCCACAGTGTAAACAATATTTATAAATTACATTCATGTTTTTTACCGAATTTTAAGAACGATTCAATGGTATATCTCTTCTACTAATTTTAAAGTACTGAATCAAGTTCTAGTCACTTGTAATTACCTGCAAGACAAAACACAGTTATTGTTGTGTACATCACAAACAAACCTACACATTTATCATTGTCAACTAATCTTAAACCAGAATAAAAAAATGCCGTAAACATACTTTTGAAGCACAATGAACCATGAACTTTTCGAATAGTCCTAACTGAGTAATTATGGTTAGCAAATCTCCAAAATAAATTAATATTAATGTTATGAGAAAAAAATTATTTTGTACAAAATTAAGTTACAAGAAAATCTAATTGGTACATACAAAATACTGTATGTGTTAAGTTAGATTATGGAGAATATTTTAAGTAGGACCAAGTATGACAACTACTACTATTACAATTAATATAAATTTTCGTAAATTGAGTAAGCATGTCAATTATATACCACCTATCCATCTCCTTATCTCAAGTTGTTATGTGCTCACTACTTTTGTGCAACAGATTTGGACAATCAAAATAAACTTAAAGAAAAAATAAATAAATACTTCCAGTTTGAAATAATGCTAATATTTATAAATTATTTATTTGATAGGCTTGAATTATTACTTACATTCCAAAGTATAAATATTAACCTTGAACTTGAATTCTTTTTCTTTTAGTTTACTTGCCAAAATATTACTTTTCTGCCAAAAAAATATTAGGTCTATAAATACCAAAAAACTTCTACCTAAGTTAAGGAAAGTATGCTTTCTTTCTCACTTCCTGGTTCTGAGTCTATTCCGGGCTAAAATTGGGCCATGTGGATCTATTAAAATTATCTAAATTTATTACAGATTTAAAAAGCCTCAAACGAAACGAAATACCATCAAAGATATTGTATAGCGAAAATTAATCAAATCTGATTTGATATCCATAATATTGGCCACTAGAAATATGTGTTCTATTAGGGTATTGCCAATCTGTATGGTTGCTGATATATCTTCTAGAACAGGAGAAATGTGCCCTGTAGCTGTTTCCAGAACTAAGCTTCTTCGAGTTGGTCCTGGTTTACGATGCAGGATCCCTGTTCGAAAGAAAGACTCGGTTATACCAGTATCAATGACGAAGTGCATTTTTGGTTATCGATATACCTATTGACAAATACATTTTATTCGTTTTTATTAGCAATTTTGGGGCCCTCTTTTATGAATGCCTGTCCCATAGTGTCGATCTTTATTCGTTTCCCCTGATAATTGCTAGATGGCTTTTTCCACAGGGAATGGATCCTCCCCATAGGAGGTCCCCCTTGTAGGAGATTCCCTGTAGCAGCTCCAACTCATAATCTTCATAGTCTAATTTAAAAGTCTTTATTTTGTATTTTGAATAATTGCATTTTTAAATAATTAGCTAAGGGTTTTGACATGTGCCCCAAATATTAGTGGATTTGGTAAGTCTACGTTTTGTGTACTTACTATTATATTGAGCCTGTATTTGTGTATGTCGAGTTAAGACATTTTATATAATCGTTGTAATTACATTATACTTGTTTTGAGAACACTGTGTTTTCTTCAGCCCTTGTTTAAAGACGTGTTAGGTTCTTACAGCAGGAGCAGAACCCTTATACAGTTAAGGGCTACGAAGTCAAGTTTAAGGCTAAAATAGTGTTTATGTGATTGAGGCCCAAATTCATATATTTTGTTATTTAACCCCCATAATTATTAAAGAGCACGTTAAACGCGACTTTTCTTTTATTAAAAACACGCATAACGTGACAATATGTTGTAGGATAGTATTAGTAGTGGCCTCTTTACTTTTCTGGAATACGACTTGAGAAGGTTTGTGGGTTAGAAGAGGTATTTTAACTTCAAAATGCGTTTAATCAAATGATAAAATAACAAATAAAAACTTATAACTAAAATTATTGTTCCGTCAGGTGCTCGTAACAACGTCTCGAGATTGACTGTCTACTCCGGTGTTCGACCGCCCGACCCCGCTCGTTTCCCTTCACTTCGCGCACATCACTTACCAGTGGCGTAGCACTTGTGTTTTATAACCACTACAGACTTCACTCAAATTGGCGCAGGAAAATCCAGATAAACTTTTTGCTGCCTCATATTCCTGGGCTGCAATTAGTGTTTCACTCAGCGTCTTGCGGTGTTGTATCCAAAAAACTTGCTGCATTTCCACATCCTGAAGTCTATCAATGAATGCCTGTAAGCAGATTTGTTCTAGAAAATCTTTGAGCGCCTGTGCATAGGCCAGATGCAATAATCTTTTTATATCGACCTCAAATTCCTATAGATTCTTATCATGTTTCTGACTACGAATCTTTAGCTGGCTTTGAAATACGTATGTCAAGTGCTGCTGCTCCAAAGCTTGGACCAGAGCGAGAGACGAATAGCTAGGTTCCTCTTGGGGAAATAACTGCCAAACGATTGCTGCTTGCCCTTGCAACTATCAATGCAGCCGCCATGTCTTTCTCGGCCAAGCCATTGGCTCTAGCTGTAGCTTCAAATTGAAGCCGATATGTTTCCCATGTTGTCTGACCGTCAATACACAGATTACCATAACGACGTAATGAAATGTTTGTGTTTTATTGGTTGAACATTGATGGCGTAAAATTTTTATTTAAATTCCCTGTATATCATCAAATTAAGCTGTATTTGATAAAAACAAAATCAAAAACATATCAACTCAATGTTATTTTGTTGCTTGTGCGCCAACCGACCACCACTTTAACTGTCAAAATCTAAATTTACGAGCTTGCTAAACTTTGACAAAAGTTAAAAATTATGTCATTCTGAAAGATCATATATTCTCAAGCTCTCTCAAATTTTATCAAGCTCATTAATTTCAATAGTTCTTGCAATAAAGCTGTTACAAAATCTATTATTGTCCATTTATTTATTTATTTATTTAGCAAATTAATTTTTAAAAGTTCAATCAATACCAAGGTGGTGACCATGAAATATATCAATTTTTTTATTCGCCACACGAGGATATAAATCATCATCTATATCAATATTCAAAATATTTAAATGATTTATTAAGCTTAAGACTTATAACTCGAGCTTGGGGTCACGGTTTACCATAATAGGGTCAATAGTTAAATAATTTAAACTTCGTATTTTAATATTTACAAACGACTATGGCCGTTAGTGCAAATAAAGTGTAATAAAATGTTGCAAATATTTTTATGACTCTGTTATTGGAACGTTAGAAAATGTAGTTAATTTTATTACTATGAATAAAAATAGAAAATGTGTAAGCGAATATGGTTAGAATAGCCTAGTCAATAATTAACTGGTCGTTGCAATTACTATTATTATACAGTGTGGAAACAACTTATGGAATAATTAATTTTAGTTAAACGAACAGACTAAAGAACAAACATACACACTGGGAAAGATTTCAACTTGAAGTTAATGGAAAGATTTAATTAAATCTTCCAATTAGGACGGTAAAAGATTTGGATATCAAATTAAAATTAAGTCAGAATCTGAACAAGAGTATCATATAAATTTTCTACAGCTTTTATCAGTTTTGTTCAGGTTAAAATGTTTTACAAACGAAAAACCATAAATTAATATACTGTACCGAGAAGATAACACTGTGGCTACTATCATTATAAAGCCGGCCCCAGACAATGTGTGTAATTGGCGAATATTCCGCGTAGTGTGTGGGAGCTCAACTGCGCCTATTCTTCGGCATTCGCTTGCTATCCGTAGTCTTGTAGTCTTGTCGGTAAAACGGCACGCAGCAAAGGAAGAAGAAGTGCCTTCGCGCTCATTCGCGTTAGCTCCCAGACAGTGTGCTCAACTACGCCTAGTTGATTGACTATTCTGTTTTTAGTCAGAGTCGCGCCAAGTTTAGCGACGTGTTGTATTGTTTATTTCGTTCTTAAAATTACCAAACAGGCTGCAACTGTAGCCGCTTGCTCATCGTCACTATCCACTGCTCTCCGCTACTGTTCTATACTGAGGCCCTGCGGCGAACGTTTGTCAACATCAGAACATTTTCCAAATGCCGCAGTGTGTGGGAGGGTAACCGAAGGCATGCCGAAGACGCAGTACGAAGGCACATTCGCCGAATACACGCATTGTCTGGGGCCGGCTTAAGGTGTTA